TTTATATTCTGAGAACGATCTTCAAAGAGATAATCGAAGATTTTTAAAGAAAATATACGTACAATGTCACAGGTTAACGCATTAAAAATATTAAAAATTAAAATGTTTAATATCCTTTAATTTGTAATACGGCTATCTAAATGCAACTTAAAAATAAAACAACATTTAAACATTCTAAAATATTACCGTTATTACGTATAATACCTTCCATTTTTACCCCTACTTTTAAAAAATATTTTCCACTTTTTAAACAAAAATACAAGCTGTAATAATCAAGTACCAACTGGCCGATATACCTACTTTTTTAAAGTCTGCCGTTATATTTACACACAAAATTTACCCCTTCTGTGTAAGGCTTGGTCGTATTGTAAACAACAGATAGGATTACTCGCAGTTAGAGGTGGCAGAAATGGAACAGGTATTACTGTAATATGAGCAAAAAGACTTTTAAACGAACCCTGTTAAAAGAGTGATTTTAGGTTATAAAAATAACATAAAATGGCGTGATTAGGTCGTAATATTGGTTTAGTATCACTATGTAAATCATTTGATTGGGTATTTTAAAATTTTAGAAAGGTCGTTAATTTTATTCGCAGTTTACTGTAAGTAATCCTTATCTTCTTAAGTAATAAGTGATAGTTTGTAATGGAAGATTTCTTTTGGACTTAGAAGATCTATTAACCATTATCTCTTCTTCTTCCCCAGCTTTTCTCTTTTCAGAAGTCTCTATTCCTTACTCTTCGTCGCCACTCATTTTTGTCCATCGAGTCTTTTCATCTAAAACTTTCTTTCGTAAGTCTTCTGCCAGACAGTCCTTTCGACTTCTCCTCGGTTTTCCTTTACCTTTCCTTCCATTAATTTCTAACAATCTTTCGTCCCATGCAGTTTTCATTTCTACGTCTGGTTTTTTTTTCAAACCATACTTCTTTTGCTGTTCTTTGTTTTATTGCATATCATGGTTCATCAACTACTGTTTATTATATTTGATTCAAGGTAAGATTTTTAATATTTTGAAACCCTTGGTCTTCAAATTTATTCTCCAAACTAGTTGTAAGTTGTTGGTAAAGGTAACTTAGAGAATCAAGATCGACTCTAATATTGGGTTGATGCTTTATAAGCTTCTTGAGTCTTAGTTCTAAATCACCTACTAAGAGGATATAATCCGAGGAATCAACTCCAGAATATAGTTTGTCTATTTTTACCGATTTTTGAAAACGCTGTTTATTAATGATGTAATCTATCGGATTTTTCTGATTTTTTAGGACCATCTGTTAAAGCTTTCCAAGTGTAAAGTATTCTTTTCTACATTTTAAAAAAAGTATTTAAACACAGATTATAACACAGATTTACTTCTTTAGGGAATTTTACAAATCGGTCCCCACTGTAGTAGTTGCATTCTCCAATATCTCTCGTACATTTTCCTCTTTCTCTTCACCAATCTTAGCATTAAGATATTCCATTAGCATTGATCTCAAAAAGAGCTCTTTGAAGAAAACAATTTCATAGTTGCTTTCAAGCAGATGGACCGAAGACTACAAGCTGTTATCAATACTGATGGAGATATTACAAAATATTAATTTTACTTTTACATACTTAAATTTAGTATAGTTTTGGTCTTCCAGACCCTCGCTTTCTTTCACAAGTTTCTTGTTTTCTCCATTTTTTATTAATAGAAAAACTGTGGGTCGGCTTATGTTAAAATGTTTTGCTGCGTCTAATAGTGCCCAGTTATCTTTTAATTTGTTTACAATTCTTGCTTTAATATATTGTCTGTCATAATAAATATAACTAACTTTACGGGCCATAATATTAGACACAGGTATGAGAGATGCAACATTAAAATATTTTGATGTTGCATCTCTCCACAGACACAGCAGTGTCACTAGCTGATGTCTCAAGGGGGATGTTATTGCTTCAGATATAGTTCGTTTGGAGGATTATTTTGATGTGTTTTCCTCGTTGGATGTACTAAATTCTTGTGGTGCCGAATAGTTCTTATTTTCATTAAGAGAGATACAATTATTGTGTAGATTGGAAGATGAAGACTGTTTAATAATACTTGTGTGGGATGATACGATTGGTGAAGTAGATATATTTTTGTTATATATAGTTCTGATATTGCATTAATTGTAGTCGATGTATCGTGTGTTATTTAGTGGGTTGTAGATGATGTTTTTGGAGGTGACGTTGAGGTATTTGATATATTTGTAGAAAATGTTGTTTTTGTTTCCTCGTAATAACGACTTCCTATTATAGTTTTTTATTATATCCTACCGATTGAATATTAGTTGATGAATCTGGTATATTTGTAATTTTACTTCGATTTTAATTATATTTTTTACTTCCCAAGTTTTAAAACGAATCTATTAACGATGTTTTCAAATATAAATCAATATGTTTTTGTATTACTGATACCATATCTCGTATCTCTAACATAGTTTTGCTCCTTCGTAAGGTTTCACAAGTTATACAGAGTTTAAATACCAAGTAATGTAACGAAACGATACCCAATACCTCTAGTGTAGGTAGTGAGCGCGACACATGCGGATGTCCGGGTGTGCCGTACCACACAGGAAGAGGGGTGACTAGGAATCCATGTTGGTGCAATCCACTAGCGGTCTTTGGCCCGTGCCTAATGGTACGCACCCGGTGTTCATGAACAGTACTCTCATTCGAACACCTGGAGGTCTTTAACTCGGTGCTCCCGTGCTCGACTGTCTCCTTTCTGTTGTCTGACAGATGGGAAAAGCGAGCCGCTTCAATGACCACGCAAATTTAGCGCCAAAACAAAATAAGGTCGTATGAGAGCAAACTGAAAATTTTTAAACATGAATATAGTGCACTATTTAAACTCACTTCATTGTTGAAAAATTGAAACATCAAATAAAACACATTTTTTATACTAGAATAGTTTTATGATTTTTACCTATATATTTTCTATGCTGATGATGATAATAATCATGAAATATCAGCGGATATCCACTCTAAAATATGTCTTAGAAAAATAAATGGAACTCTGCGTTACTTTTATACATCTTTATAAACTTACACTAAAAAAATTAAGAATAACACACAAAATGGGTTATTGAAAACAGTCCCTTATATTTTGCAATATTATTTAGAATTTGTGAAGGTACTGAAAATGAGTGAGACGATTTTTATTTCAGTTTAACGGTACATACGTCATTTATCAACCCCCTACTTTCTATTTTTACAATTCCTTAATTTTAAACAGGGAAAATACAATGTGTCTTACTAGATAAATGTTAAGATCAGCGTAAATATGTCTTTGCTGTTTTTATTGATTTAAAAAAAATCGATCGAGTACAAAACAAGTTAGAAGATTGTCAGTCTTTCTACGTCTTCCGATACCCAGTTGCCACTCCTCTCGATTCATTCATAAGTCTTCTTCTATGTCTCTGTCTTTCATTTCTCTATTAATGCCTTCTCTCCAACTAAGGCTAGGTCTTCTTCTTTTTTTCTACCGTGAGGGGTCCACATTAAGACTTGTTTTGGGAGACGTTCTTCAAACATTCTCTGTACATTACCGTACCATCTGAGTTGTTGCTTTATTTGCATAATTCATTATTGTATGTAACTCTACTTTTAATGATTGTATTTTATATCTTGTGCATATTATTATTAGAGATTGATTGATCCCAAAGGATACTATTAAAAAGGAAAATTGCTTTTCTTGCTTGGATGTTTTTCTCCTCAATTGTCGAGCCACATGAGGACGAGCGTTGTCTTGCATGAATTAAAAATTATGTCCAAGAAACGGACCAAAAGGCATTACATGTTCGACAATAATGTTGTCTAAGTAATAATAGTCATTCATAGACCTCGTACGTATGGGGACCAACTCCGTACGAGGTTCAAAACAAATTCCTCCCAAAACATTTTAGAGCCACCACCAAAAGGTACTTTAGGAGAGATATTTCAGCTGGCAAACCTTTCTCCTCGCCTTCGCCAGATACGCTCACGACCACCTGGAGCTTTTAGGCTTACTCTAGTTTCATCGGAGAAAAGAACTCGTTTTCAATCATCGATGGTCCAATTTTGATGCAATCTTGCAAAATTCAGTTACTGAACCCTGTGTTCTCTAGTAAAGAAGGGTTTTTTGATCGGTTTCCTGTTGCTCAATTCTGCTTCATGTAAACGTCTTCTAACTGTTACAGACGATATCGCGGCAGTTCGAACATTTGCTAGTTTATTTTTTAGTAAATTGCTGGTGACTCTCCTATCTCTGATCATCAATTTGATTAGTGCAACGTTTTCGCCCTTGCCCTGGTCTTCGATGGTACGACCCTGTTTCATTATATGGCCTCACCTTGCGACTGATACTGTCTTCCTATGATAATGATGTCTTCCTAACAAACCTGCAACGTATCGCATTGAATTCCTTCATCTAGGAGAATCGATGATCGCACTGCCTCCTCCATTAACAAATTTTTTGGCGGTTCATTTTTGTATTTGATTTTTATGCAAATGAACCTCCAAACAAACATGTGTTGAAAAATATCACAATAAAAAGCTTGTTTCTCGCAAGCACTTTAGCACTTTGTTTAATCGGTACTTTTTATGAAAAGTTGAACTCACTTTTGGTCTAAAACGAAGTTTAATACAAATTATTATTCAAACAAGACTATTATTAGGTTTCATAACAACTGTCACTGTCAAACAAGGGCCATAGGCAACTTGTCGTACAGTAAATTATCAATAAATAAAGATTATTAAGAAAATATGATTGGTGCGTTAATTTTGTCAAGTAGTTTATATTATAACCAATTATAATCTTATTTACTATATATTTAACTTATCATACTGCCAAACATTTTATTTTATGGTTCTTGTTTTATAATATTGGAGTGATCTCTTAAATAAATAAATGAAATAAAAATAAAATTAAAAACGAATTGGTTTTAAACGCACTACTAAAACAGTATTATTGATACAATATAGTTTGTAGCAAAAACTGTCAGACTAATTTATTGTATAAGATTTTACCAATCTTGTTGCAGGCTTTCCATTCTCCAGCGTCCGTGCAGGGGCGTACCAGACCCTCCTCCCCAGCCAGTATGGGTAAGTGATTTTAACGTACTTTTTGTGTTTTTGTGCACACTAAACGTGCATTCTGATTCCGTCACCACCGATCGTAATGATATTTCATATTTTCTAGCTACTTTAGTCATGAAGACAGTTGGTGATACGTAAATCCATTGATTGTATTGAAATTTGGCAGACAATGCGATCCCGACTTCTCAAACATTAAAATGTAAACAGTTAGTTATTTCGATGAGTGTTTGTGAGTGTGCGTGTTAAATTTTTCTTAGTTATTGAGTTACACTATTAAAACATTAGCAGGCGTTCGAAATCGTTGGGAAAAGCCCCAGGTATTGCCAAAAGGATACTATCACGCACTTCTTCTTCAAACTACAAACTGTGCCCTAATAGAAAACGTTTATCATTTCTCTCAGAGTTTTACTCACACTCTCACTGATCTTTTTATAGTGTGACACTGTAATTCGCAATTTTTGTTTTGTATGATGTATCCTCTAACTTATGAGAATGAAAATATTGATAATTCTAAAACAAATTCTTAATATAACACAAACAATAATGATTGATTTCAAATAAAAAACAGACCATGGAAGTTAAGGAAAGGAATAAGGTGGTACAAAATATATAAACACTATGTAGACAATTAGAAAACACATTCGAAAGAAACAAGATACTGAACAAGAAAAATATATAGATGATCTTTGTCTGTCGTTTATTGTTTCTAGCATCTGTTATGCCTTTTCTCCAGTTGAGACTGAGATGCCTAATATTTTCGTAACACAGCTTTATCTTTTGATCGATTTTTTCGACTGTAGGCTGATCATTTTTATGATGTCGAGCTTGACCATGCTTTAAGTAATAATAGCATTAAGACTTGTCACAGATGACATTACTTTTTTATTTTCCCTAGTTTCTAAACACTCCTGACATTTCACGTACCAATTTTTAATTATTTTCGGGTTTTCACAATAAAAAAGATGGTGTGATTTGAAGATTTCTGTAGTTCATCCTTATATAGTTTACCAATCAATAGCTTCGCTGCATTTGGGATCAATTTCTTGATACTGGAATAAAATTATGTCCTTACACTTGTTGTTTCTCATAATCGTAATCTTTTAGTTGTTAATGTCTGTTGTTGTTAATTTCATCGCCATCATTTAGAGTTTAGGCTGCAGGTCGATGCTGTTACAATAATGTGATGCCACGAGTGTAAATAAAAGCTGAATGTCTTCTGGGGAAAAGTTGTTTGAAACTAGCGACTTTGTTTGCGTCTATTGAGTCTATCCACTTGCTTTATCTATGCAATGCTTCTTAGCTTATTTATGGCTTTTTTCCCCTTGGCTATAACATATGATGATTACTGTCACTGCTTTGAGAGGAAAAGTCACATTGTGACCTATAAGATGTGTTGCCTTCTCTGATGGTTTCTCAATAATTTGAGCAGCTTCCGTGGTATTATTGCTCCCAGGAAGGTTATTATATATAGAGGTTTTATGTTTGGTACATTCTCTTTTGCTATCTCAAAAGCTTCTAGGTAAGGTATTTTGGAGTTTCTTAGGGCTCAGCAAAAATGTAGGTCAATAATAATTCCAATTTTTCCTGTTAAAATACCTTAAATGCATCATTTTTTTATTTATTACAATTTGTTGAACTTATATGTTTATAGTGCCCTAGAAGTTTTGTCTTCTTCCTTGTAAGTGTTCCTAATGTTTGAATGTTTTGTGGTTTGCTTCGCTTTCAACATTCAGGCTATTATGTACAAATATACAGTAAAAGGTGTTTTTGCATATCTCTTACTGCCTTATAAATAATAATTGGTCTTTCTATTGCGCTTAGATCTGCCTGAAAATTTTTGGGTAACATTCTCAATTTTTTGCTGCAAAATTATTAGAGCTTTTGAGCCTTTCTTGATTATATGTTTTTCATGCTTTTTATAGATCAGTGTATTATCTAGAATTAGGTCTAGTTTTGCATTAAAATGTGCTTCCATGTATTGTAATTTTTAAAATTGAATTCCTCTTTTTTTTTGTTATTTTAAACTATGGTATACATCAAACTACTTGGATTTTTACTTTTACTTTTAATTTATTTTTCTTTTAAAGGAGGGTGATTTCAGGAGGGTTATCTTAGACCTATCTTTTTGCACCAAGTATTTGTATCTCTATCTCTTTTGTACGAAGTAGCTATGCCATCCACTTGATTGGATTACATTTAAACATTACATTACACTATTAATGATTATAATATTGTAATATATTATAATGCTTAATAATTATTTGCTTATTCCTTTTCCCATCCATTTAAGTTTTTCCTTTTGCTCTTAAGTATTTGGTTCTCTCGTTTCTTTAATACCTAACCTTTGACTACAAACCTTTTTAATTTTTTTTTGTTACATACCTACGTCATCTTTAAGTTTGTCTGGTTTCAACACGGTCCAATTTTGCACTTTGCGAAGATTTGACATCACGTATATCATATTTCTATATTTTGGAGCTAGTTTACCCAACAATAAAATATGCATCAGTTGTATTTGCTACAAAAATTGTAAAAATTAAAAAATGTGCAAGTTCTGTTTTGCAAATGTTTTAATTTTTACACTTTTTTGTATCAGTATCGACTGATGTAGACATTTAGAAGATTGTCCACATTCCATGGGTAAATAGAGTCACGAATACGGAAGTGTTAAGGAGAATAGATAGAGGGAAATGGAAAATACAATAAAAGAAAGGAAATTACAATATCTCGGACATGTGATTGATGAGTGGTTTGGTTGCAGCTCAAGGCAATTGTTCAGAGCAGCTGCCTCGAAGGTCAGAATAACCATGATGATTGTCAACCTTCGTCGCAGATATGGCACTTAAAGAAGAAGAAAGTTCTGATTGACACATACATGGAGCAGTTTTGCTTGACTCTTAGGGGAGTTCTGATTTCCGTTCCACTAGGGTATATCTGCAATGCCAAACAGAAGCTTATGCAATCTAGGATTGTGCACATGAAAATGAGAGCTTGTGAACTTGTGAAACGGATCAATTTCTACGCAGATAGTAAAGCGATTATGGAGGATTCCAGGATCCCTAAAGTAGGCTCTAGGGCAGTGTGTAGATGCGAAAAATAACACGTTATAGCGGAACATAAGGAAGTCAGCTATGAGTTTCAGATTATCAGGAAATGTCCGCCTACGAAACAGTTAATTAGCGTGCCAGACCAGAATCAGCTAAAACATATTTACGTTAAAAGCTTAACTTAGGAATACCAAAATTACTTCCTGCGTCCGAAAAAAACTAGATATGAATATAATTTCCACTGGAAAAGTATATCTTGTGTGAAACTGTGTATTTCTTGTGCAGAATTGAATCAAACTCTTGCCTCGTTCATTTCTTGCCCTTAAATCAGTCACATTGAATTAAAGAAACAATATCTGTACCTGTAAATTTCACACATAAAAATGTAAAATATTTTTCAATGAATAACTGCATTAAAAAAAAAGTGTAAATCAAAAATTTAATGTTTTTTTCATGTCATAATTTAGACTATACATCATATTTTTATTTCGTGTTAAATTTATGTTTTTATTATCATTATTTATTGTTTTACCACACTAATTTTATTTTCTAATGTTATTTAGGGTAAATTTGTACATATGTTATACAAATTAGTTTGAAAAGGGGTACGCCAGTATTCATTCTAACGATAAAACGAACGCCGACTGCACGATGTCCGCCACCCGCATTTTTATTATTTTTTTTTACCAAATTTTGTGTTCATTTAACATTTTATTAGTATTTGGTTAATGAAATCTGTGTATGCGAAATATACAGGTATAAATATCTCCTAAATGATAATCATTACGTTCTGTTCATAAAAATTAAAATTGTAAATTATGTTTTTATTTTTTTGTTGATAATTTTTTAATTATATTTATGGAAAATTACAAATTGTATTTTGTACCAAAGTATGCCATCATTGTACACAATCATCCTTCTACTAACTGCCTATTCAAATCAGGTTTGAGCCTAATAAAGCAAATTTTTTTGTACTCAACTTGCTGAGATGAGTTGTTACTGTTGTTTGTATCTAATATTAAATATTCTTTACACCTATTCTGAATCAGATTAAGGATACTTCTTGTAAAGATCTTTTTATTATCAGAGATATTTTCGGGTGGAAAGATGGATCAATTTTTTGGTAGCACTTTCCCTGAAGTATTTAAAGTGTCAGAATATATGTATCTGTAGACTAGGGAGAGCGAGTAAGTCCCACAACTGAGGGAGCTATCATCCTTAGCTCATTGTCCAGCCTGCCTTTTCTAGGAGGGTAGATAAGTCATCAGAAGCAGCTTTATGTAGGCAGGTGTAGACCAAGGCTCACCGAACGCGTACTCTCGGATTAACGATAACTCCGGACATTCATATAGGACATGCTCTACAGTTAAGTCTTCTCGTTCACATTTCCTGCATAGAGGTGTATCTACTAGCCCCAGTATGTGGAGGTGTTTGCTTAGTTGACAATGACCAGTTAAAAAATCAACTGTCAAGCGTAGGTTTTTCCTGGTCATTCCCAAGTTCTTCTTTGATGCTGACTTTTGACAAATTCCGCGATTGATGTAGTTAACCAACCAAAAAGATACCCAGGTCCTAAGATTCTTAGGCCTACTGTCTTTCTAGCTAATTGGTCAGCAATGTGGTTGATGTTATTACCATCCTAATTTTAAGTTAGTGACTCGTGATACTCCATTACTAACCCTGATGTGACACGTGGTCTGTTTAAGGTTAGTAGCGCATGTCTGCTATCTGTGCAGATAATTATAGTTTTCCAGGCTACACCATTTTATAAAATATCACATTTTAATCAGAATGTCTATCTACCATTATGTCGTCTGTAGTATCCATAAGTGAAACACATTTGTTTCTACAATCTCACACTTGTCATTCTACACTTTGCTTAAAGCTTTTTATATATTTATTTAATGAAAAATATATACTTACTCATTTTGCAAAATACAAAAGGTAATGGTAGTAATA